AGGAGGAGGAGGAGGAGGAGGCGAACTCTGATTTTCCCACTACTACGGCACATGACATTTTACTTTAACCGATGTTTTCGGTCCAGAGATCTAGAGCCAAATTAAGAGCTCTCCTAGAGACTTATGAGTAAGGCTTTTCAAAGGCCTTAGAGACATAGTCGGATGCGCTACCCTAGGTTCTAATGCATATAACATGTTTTTATTGCCTAATTCTGAGTGCAAAATGCACTTGAAATTCTGAATCTACCTAACAAAGGATGCATAGATATATCTTTCTCGGGTTAAAACCTTGCTCTTCTTATCTCTTAAGTTGATAAATAAGGGACGAAATATGCCTCTACACAATTTTATTCCAACTATGCTATTGCACACTGTTGTTATGGTTTCTCCCGCCTTACGACCATGTTGGCCAATTTTACACTCTCATCATCTAAGCAACAGCAATTGTTAGTAAGAATTAAGGAATAAAATATCCACAACAAACAATGTCGTCCGCAATTGGATCCGTCTACTAGTAGGAGGTAGGCTGGCAGTGAATACGCCCGACGTTTTGCCCATAAGGTTTAAGCAAAGCTGTCAACCAAGAGCAAGCCAAGCCATTTCGTAAACCGTACTTGCACGGAGTTGTTGCGGGAAGGGATTGGTTGCACATTGGGAACAGCAACGACACTGTAAATGCATTTTAACCGATTTTGCAAGCTATTAATTCCGGAACTCGTAGAAAGGCAAGGTAAAAGGAAGACAACAGGTTTTTATCTCCCATTTTTTACAGGCCGATTTCCGCGATAGCTTTCTCTGGATGACAGAAAGGTTTTTGAGAAAAAGTATATGCTAATTGCACGAAGAACTACCCCTTTGTTGATTAGCATACGGAAATAAATGCAAAAAGTTTGGTAGGTGACATAATTTAATCAGTAAATGACAATTGGCTTCGCTTCAGGTCTAATGCGCAAACAAAGTACTCCATCAGAGTGAATTTAATGCTTTAGTTACTTGGTAACCCTTCATTTTAATTACGGGGCGCTAGAGGGCGCGACCATTGTGCAACCGCCCTGCAAAGTGGCCTCCGAGCCATCCCAGCAGCCTCTCTGCAAGCCCTTCGTACGTCGGCGAAATATATTTTGCCCTGGTATTGTGACGTCTTTGGTCTTTAGGGAGGTCTTGGGGAGCTACAATGGTGGCAGCGGAAAGTGAACCCGGTCCTACATAATAAATACCCTAATTTCAATTGCTGAATGCTAATCCTTAACACGACGGAAGAAGGACATATGCTGCGAATGGAAGAATTTGTGACAATCCCTACCAGAAGGGTTGATAATGACGTCAACCTTCGGCAACTGCTCCAGTCCCGTATTCTGCACGAATACTATTAACAAGCCAAGAGGCACTAGCTGTGGCTCTAAACCATCCACAGTAGCTCCTTACGAAGCTGTCGATGGTACCTGTAAGAAGGTGTCGATTAGGTGAACACGCGATACCCCCTCCACCTCTCTACTGGCTGGGCAGAGTCCGAATAAATAGATATGACTGAATAGCACTAAAGTGGGAACAATGTGGCGGGTAGGCGTAGATACAAAACCTTATCCCCACGAAACCTTGTTAAACCCCGTTCGTTGGTAAATGCCTCTACATTTAGCCCAGTGTTCCTCTACCCTTACCAATGGGCACGCGCGATGGCCAGCATATTTTCTCTTCCCCCAATACAGTTCCTACGCAGAACAAAAATCCAGATCCAATGAAATTGCCAGGAGGGATCAGTGATATTGCGATCAAGTATCTTCTTAGTAGTAAAAAAATATGGTAACCGGGGTGGTTTATTGTAGACATTGTTCCTACAGCACTAAGTACGTTGTGATGGCCGATTCGGGAGGTTGACCAAGGTGAGTGCGGTAAAAGTGACGCTCAAAAGAGGGGGGGAGAGACTTTGTAGTGCATTGTCTAGCTTTTTGCTTTGGTTACTCGGACACTGAGGGGCAAGGACACTGTACTTCTACTTAACAGCATGGCCTCTAAGCAATACGGATAGCCTCTCAGCCCCTCCATACATGGATAGTACATATATTCTGCCTGGACAATATCTCTTCTTTCCTCTTCAGGGAGGTCTCGACTTGCTACCCCAAACGCCTTTTATTATGGCCGCTTTATTGAAGCGTAACAACATACAAGTGGATTTAAAATGGAAGAAAATAAATAATTAGACGCAAATCTAACCAATTTATTTATTTCATCGGTTTATTTTACTGCAACTGGAAAACTGGAGCAAATAAGGCGAATTGATAAAAGCCTGACACAAAGAGGGAATATGGGCGAATGTGTGGCATTCAAAAATTACAACTTAGGCTTTCTAGAATATCTAAAAATAATTTTAATTAAATCTTTGAGACTACACAGACCCCGATGCTCATAGGTGAGGAAGTCACTTAAAAGCAAGCTGTGGAAGTTGAAAACCCCATGTAACTAAAGTAAAATCAAAATAGACATCCTTTTGCTAAAGAGGTAACTGAAGCCTCGCTGAAGAAGGAGTGGGATGTATGAGTCGGGATATAAATTTGCGATGCATGAAAGGAATGCACCGTGCCCGATTGAAAATGACATCACAAAAGGAACGCCATGGCACCAGGATGGTAAATCTGATGTCTCTGAAGAGCCCGTGTAGCTAAAAGGACAATTGAAACGAGTGCCATTTGCTTAAATTCTACTTATTTTAAATACGGCAACTAGAATGATTAGAGTTCTTATCAGGGGTTTGCCTTAAGTTATTTTATTTCAAATTCCTTCTTAAAAAATGCAATTTTGGTCTTACAAATGAATGACAATTACTAAAAAAGATATTTGTAACTTTTTTCCCTTTTACCTGACAAAAAAAGACAACTTGGTTGTCAATTTATGATTATGGGTTATTTGAACAAGAGCACTGAAAGGGGAAATTTGTGGGACTGCTGAAGGCAAAGTGACGTCACCTTTACTTACACTTCGACGGCAAGGACATCGACTGAAGAGAATATGGGCGTAAATTAATGGTATGTCATTTTTGCTATCCGAGTCCACTGAGAGTAGAGTACTTACTGCGAAATTCGTGGCAACATTTTTAAGGAGCAAATCGACAACAACGTGTCCTTTGCCCACACTGGAACTAAGAATAACCAAGCAATTAGTGGGTAATTATCCATGTAGAAATAGCCTTTCACAGAGCAACAGTCAAATGCTTGAAATGAGGTACACCAAGTAGAGGGCAGACACCCCCCCATGCTACATGAG